ACGAATTCGTTGTTGAAGAAGCCAAAGCTCGGTAATTTTCACTGAAGGAAAATGCCAAAATTAGTGTTTTCAAAAGTCGCCACAGAAATAACAGTGACAACAATGTAAGCAAATACTGTGCAAAGACAAGTATATTATGCTCAAAAACGGGCGAATCTATACTCCTAAAAAGTCGACGTTGTCTACTGAATTGTCTTTGGAGAGGAAGTCGCCCTCGCTTGGTGACTGGTGCAGCGCGGGCGCCGCGGGCAACGCTAATGGTAATTACGATTCACGGCGGGGTCGGCGCCGCTGATGTTGAAATGAATGGCCGGGGCTTTGGGGCGGCACCACTGGGGCCACCGGAGGTTCAGTTAGGGACGCTTTATGATGAACAGGACGAGAGGCTCGCGGAATACTTATCAAGCTTTGGAAAGTAGGTTGGGGAGAAAGGACAGAGAACGAAGAGAGAGAGAGAGAGAGAGAGAGAGAGAGAGAGAGAGAGAGAGAGAGAGAGAGAGTTGTGGGGGAAGAGCAAGGGAGGTGGAGACAAGCGCCCCCTCCCTATAGGTTGCGTGCAGCCTTTGGGGCTGCGTGGGTTCTGCGGTGTGGTGCACCGGAGCGCACCCATGCGTCACCAGACGTCGCTCTCCTTCTTGTGCGCCCCGTTCATACGTCAACTTGCAGACAAAAACGTTTCGTCGCGAATCCATGGGTGTATGTATCCAACGACCTACAACCGAACCGAGGTCTCTGATTGGCCAATTCGCCCCGCGAGTCATTTGTTTTGGTCGAATTGACCAATCAGGGGCTTCCATTAGGTTGTACCAGGTGGCTGATTCACGCCGCGCACTTATGTAGGTATACAGGGTGGGTGATCCGCGCCGTGTTTTTTTTCTGCTAATACTGTACCGGATTCACGCGTGCGGGCGGGCTTGCCTATCGTCGCTCGCCATGACGCCTTATGGCCCCGTGCGACTATGCAACCCGTCCGCACGCATGAATCCGGTACAGTATAAGCAGAAAAAACCACGGCGCGGATCACCAACCCTGTACTGTACCGCATGCACGAGTGCGGACGGGCTTGCCTATCGCCCCTGTCCACGGCGCCTTATGAGCCGAGCGAGTAGGCAACCCGCCTGCACTCGTGCATGCGGTACAGTATACCTACAGAAGTGCGCGGCGTGAATCAGCCATCTGGTATGTCGCTGGATACAATCCTTATCCTATTTGCCAACACCAATATCGCCGTTCTGAAATTTCAAAAGAAACACTGATAAAGTAAGTGTGCAACTGCTATACACGTGATAGTGTTCAGCTCGGTAGCTGTGCACTTGGAAATGTGCAACTCCTCTTTTAGCACTTCCCACACAGTGAGCGCCCACACAGGTGTACATCTACGGAGTTGAACACTTAAACAAGTGTTAAGCAGTTGCACTCTTAATTTATCAGTGAATAAGAGGCGGACATAGGCTTCCTGCAACCCATATCAAAGTGTAGAATTTGACAAGTATTTCGGGCTCGTGAACTACTGGCCACAATGTTATGCGCTACACTGTACATCTACGTATGGTGCCCAGCAGCTGTGCGACTGAAGTTGCACGAGCCTAAAACTCGTGCGATCTAGTTTGCAGCTACTAGACAGGTTTGTGTTGACATAGCATATGCACGGGGAAGAGCTACACACAGTTTACCGTGAGGTACATGAAGTGTCCACTTAAGCATAGTGCAGGTACATGAAGCGTAGTCTGCACAGGGTCCTACCAAAAGGTGTCCAGCCGCTGTGCGAAGTGAATTGCACAGGTTATTGGGGTCGTGCAACTCAACTACTTAAGTCACACCGTTGCTGGACCGCCCCGATTAACATTGCAATGTACATGTACGCGTTGGGTGCTGACGCCGGTGCTTTCGTGTTTGTTGCAGGTCCATGGCCCGCGCGGCCCGGCCTGCCCCGCCTATGAGTCCCGCCAGCCTCACGCCTCGCTCCGCGCGCCCCCATGTGCGGCCTGGGGTATAGGACCAGGAACAGCCCCTCACAGAAGACCTCCCTCCGCTGGGGCGACTGCTGCACCGGAGCTGCTCCCCAGCTTCTGCTCTCGGACTGACCGACTGATCTTCCGCTGCCGGGCGTACACAAGAGTTGTTATTGTTGTTGTTATTGTTATTGATAGCGGGCGTTCCAGAAGCAGCTTCGTAGCGAAGAAAACAAATACTAGGGTACCTATTTAAAAGAGAGTGAGAGAGAGTTTGTGTGTATTACAATAATAAGTGTTACTATAGTTTTAAAGAAAAAATATATAT